AAGTACATCACTCTAAGTTTATGTTTTTGTTTTGTTTTCCAATTTCTGGCAACTTGTTTGTCTAACCAGATCGAGCTATCCTGTAAAAATCGACAGACTGGCTTTAATTAAAACCTTCAATACAAACTCTTAAAAAGAGTCTTAAAACATTAGCTAACCTTAAATTAGGATTGATGCATTGTTTTGTTTTTAGTGTGCGTAACAGGATAAGTCACTTAATGTACCGGTAAACAAGAGTGGAAGAGCTAAATATTATTTTAGCTAAATTATAGTGAAGAGATTCATGCTGATGTAAGAAAGCGTCATTATGAATGGGCTGGATATTTACTTTATAGCATGCACACGATATTTACGATTCAGAGACAGGGTTCTCTGTTTTACTCAAATGTCTGTGACCCATACACTGCAAAGTTACTGATCACTGCAGAAGTCTCAAACGTGGTCGTCTAAACACATCATAGTGAAGTGAAGACTAAATCAAAGATCTGAGCTGAAACATCAACAGCGCAGTGAGTCTTTCTTCTCGCCACAGAAGAAGTATTCTTAATACAAATTATTACCTTTAAATGAGTTTAGTCAACTCTACTGTTCAGCACAGACAACTAATACTGATATAAGTAAACTCCAAAAACAAGTATGAATAAAATTAAAGTTCGATTTTACCAACACACAGTACTGACATCAGTCTTTTAATAGATTTCATTCTAAAAGCAAATAAAAATATTTCTTAAAACAGAGATGTATCAGTTTAACCAGACTGCCGCTAATGTCAGTGAAGGTCACATGTTCATGTTTATAATCTGCTGTCAGTGTGTGGACTCAAAACATGCAGCACAGATATGAAGCAAGGGTACAGTGTGTGTGTGTGTGTGTGTGTGTATGCTCCAGTGATGTGCGGGTGGATTAACCAGGATCAGATAGGCCTCCTTAATCCCTTTGCAAAAGGACAGAGTTGACCCAGTCATTCCGACCTCTGACCCCATCAACAGGAAGTGAAATTATTACCCAATCAGAGTGAAGGACGCTGCCAAGTGCCCTTCTTTTCTAACCCTGGGAAACATAAGCGACAGACTGTGAGGGGGCGGCTGCAGAGGACTTAAATTTAAGCACAGGTTTAGTAACTGATATGAAAAACACACAACGGTTAATATAAATAACCATTAATGACGTCATCTCAGTAAAAAAGTGATCACATGATGAAGCTCCTGTTGCCACCCAGTGTTGGAAAGTGATTTTGGTTTTTATAAAATTGTTTAAAAAAAGCTGAAACTCACATTTGGGTTGGCAGAAATAAAAGTAACTTGAAGTAAGCAGACAAAGAAGTTGAATATTTAACATGCTTCTTGATCTCTTTTTAAATCACACATCCACACAGTTTCAGCTTTATCACACAGCTCCTTGTCTGGTTATGTGAAAACAACAAGTGGTTTATTTCCACTGAGAAACCCTGAGGTTTCTTTTGAGCAAGTACTTGGTTCACAGAGCCAGGGATGCCTGCAGACAGATGAAGGGAGACAGAATCTGCAAAGGCAACGATGGAGGACCAGCACTGCCAAAATAATGAGGTCATAAATAAATGAATGGCTCAACTAAAAAACAAAACAAAAAAACATGCACATATACATTTGCAAAAAAGTATAAGAATGAACGAATCTTCCTTTAGTTGTCTGGCTTCTGTCTCACCCTGTTACTACCATCCTGTCCTGTCACACCAGCCCTTTGTTTTACAGATTCTGAGCTGAGCTACATTTGTGACCTCACCAGTATCCTCGTCATTATTGGCAGTGACTGAAAGACTAAGAACCAAGATACCAGTAGCGGAAATAAGCATCTTCTAAAAGTGACAGCTGCATCCTTCAGTATTGGCTCAACATCTGACCAGGATGCCTTGGACAAATGCTGGATGGATGGGTACATTATTATCTTCTCCAAACAATATTATTTCTTATGAATGTACTTTTTTCTTTAACATTAAGAAAACTTAAGGTGCACTCCAAGAGAATACAAAAATAATTTAAATGCCATCTTTTAACAATATGCAATACAAACACAGGACTGTCGTGAGCAGGGGCTCTTTAAAGTAGAACGCACACACAAAATAAACAAGTAAATAAAAAAAAAGCTTTCCTGAACTTTTTTGCAAAAATAATTTACCACCCTTTCAAAAAACAAACAAAATTTGTTAAATTATTAAATAAATATAAACATAAATTTATTTATATATATTTTTATTTTGCAATTAAAAGTAATAATGGTCTTGTTAATAACTTTTACATGCCTATATTCTAGAACTTGTTTTTAATATTTGTTTTTTCGACTCATTTCCAACAGCACTTAAAGGCAGCATCCTCTGGTAATCCATCAAAAACATCTAGACTCTTGGGGCTGTTAAGATCCCTTTTGGTAGATTCCCCCATTCTACATTGATATCATTACTGTGATTGGACAATAATTATAAACTCCGCCTGCCAGTCCTTGATTGACAGACAGTTCACCAATAGCAAGAGGCAACGAGGCTCCCTTGTAACTTCTGATTGGTGGATTGGTCTGGACAATATGAATGGCAAAATGTATTGTTCGACGTCTTCCCAAAGAGCAGCAACTTTGCGGTTCTCCAACTTAAGGCGAGTCCGTTAAATTGGTTTGTTTGAACAATTCTGCTTGAAATTTCATCGTCAAAAGCGCCACAAGTTAAAGAGGACATGGAGAAGATTTAGAGAAGTGTTCAATCTGGTTAATTTGTCGTCGAACGGAGACAACTGTTGAGCGTAAGTAGCTGAAGTCATATGTTAGTCTCAGCGGGGATTTAAATGGGTAAACTCCGTTAGCCCAACTAGCGGGCTAGCGGTGGCTTGTTTGCAGTCATCTAACTTTGTTGTATACGAGTTAAAACCAATACGACTCTAAAGGAATGTGTTACTAGTATTAAAAAAGATAAACTAAGTTCTAGGTTTTGATGCAAGTCTTACGGTAACGCATGCTCATTAAGTTCCCTTTTTTTGGTCTCGCTCACAGTGTGACCAGACTCCGTGTAAGTTTTTCATTTAAAATCGTTTACATTACTTCAATTGCTTACAATATTTGTGGAAGTTGGAAATATTATTACGTTCTTGGACGCAACACGGTATGCTGCTTAATTCGGCATACACTTAGGTGTTCAATAAACTGCACTTAAAACTGAATGATGTTCTCCAAGCACGCCGTTACATCACGGGTAGCTGCGACGAGCCGACTCTGAAAGTTCAGATTTATTTTGTATAAATACTGCTTCTTTTCGTGCCGGATTATTGCGAAAACTCACAAGAATCATCTCAAATTTTTTCCTACATCAGGTCCTGTTTTTTCACAAGCCTGTGTAACAATGAAGATAAACTGGCCGCTTTCAAACAGTAGTTCAGCTCTTTATTGAAATTGCCCACAGACTAGTGTTGGTGTGTGAGAGAAGAGCCTGCCCTGGAGATGGGGGACCGGGAGCCTCCAGTGTTTGGGTCCCTGGAGGAAGAGCTGGAGTACTGGAAGGAGCAGGCTGCCAAGCACCAACAGAGGTATGGCCCCTGGTGATCTTCTTATAATTTTATTAATTTATAAACCCTAAGCTGTATATAGAATGAAGTGGATGTGTATCTTAATCTCACGTTTCTCTGTTCTCAGTGGATATTGGATTTCAGCGCTTCCAGCTGT